CTCTGTTATTGACACAGGCGTCCATGACTTAGGAGTTGTGTTTGGATGCGCATTGTTGTAAGCATTATAAGTTTCTTTTGCTAACTTATTTGTGTGGCGCATAATTATATCAGCCATTTCAACGTTCATGAAACGTTTGAATGTTTGCTCTATTGACAACATTTCAGTGCATCTAGCTGGTCCAGAACGTTCTCTTATAATATTTTGTCTGAGTACCTGACGACTTACATTTGGTTCTTTCATCCACTCAGTACCATCACGTGCAACAAATTTTTCGGCACTAGCAGGTAATTCATTATTTTCTTCTACTTCTTCTTCTTCATCGTCTTCTTCATCATCCTCATAGTCCGCATAATCAGGTAATACTTCTGCGGCACTTTGCGAAACTTCAGCATCGTCATCAGCAATTTCAATGTCATTGATTTGAATTTCTTCTTCATCTTCTGAGTCAAAGTCATAGGGAGCGTCATCGTCACAAATTTCATCAAATAAAGATTGTATATATGATTCTCGCTGTTCCTCAGTTAGCCTGCATAATAAAAAAAAATTAGTATATGTTTACATTGTTGCTTATTTTACATTTTTTACCTTCTATATGCTGCACTTGATAAATATTCGTTTCTTCTTGAAGTCATTTCGTATCCAGTTATTTATAGTTTCAGTTATATTTATTTTCACTTATATTTTCACTTCTTACACTTTTGAGCACCAAAACAATAATGAAAATATCAACAGGCAGCATTTATAACAACAACAACTGTGAAAACAACCCTTGCAGCTGCATATAAAATACAAAAACCAGTTATACCAGTGTATTTGCTACCTACGTACCCATACCTTGCGCGACCTTTTTGCACATATCTTTTGAACCAGGTAGAATATTTCAATGAAATAAAAACCAAAATGTGTATTCGTTGTTACTCTACAAGTATATTATTATAAATTATATTATTTTGTTTTGCATTTATCAGGACAACAACAAAAACAAAAATCCACTGTTGCATGTCCTGACTTTATTTGCCCATATCGCTGGAACCAGTAGGAGTATTCGAATGAAACAAAAGACAAAATACTTGTTATATATTAAAATATACATTTAAAAAAAAAAATCATAGAAATCGGTTGAATAAGCATTAAAAAAACCGCAAAATAAGGTCCCGGGTACAAACGTATCCCGGGTGTGTGTTTACGTGGTATTTTCTGGGTGTGTTTTCTAGGGTTAATAAAAGCAAATCTCCTACAATTTCTTAATAAATACCCATACATGTATTTCGTAGCAGTGGCACTATTGGAAGGTGTTATGAAAAAATAAAATAAAATAAAACTTTTTAATACACAACGCTTTTATAAATGGACTAAAATGTAGAAAATAATATTTCTCAGTCCCCCAAATTTTTTTTTATAACTTTTGATTTTAAAATTTTAGCAAAAGTCATATAATGACAATGACAATGAACTACATTGAAAACGAAAAACGTGGAGCGCATGCAGCACACTGCATTCGATTTCATTGACAATAGTCAAACTACATAACATTCTACAGCGAAAGTACAAATTTGAAATCGATTTTAAGCTTTCGTTATTCATATGCCCACATACATACATATGTTACTTTTCATATCAATTCAAGTGTATTACATGCGCCCCACGCTTTTCATTTTCAATGTCATTAATTGTTTATAATGACTTTTGCTAAAATTTCAAAATCAAAAGTTATCAAAACAAATTCTGTGGGATTGAGAAATATTATTTTCTACTTATTAGTCCATTTATAAAAGCGTTGTATATTAAAAAGTTTTTTATTTTATTTTATTTATTTTCTACTTTTTAGTCTTGTCTGTACAAAATTTTGCAGTAGATATTAAAATAATTCAACTTGCAGTGCAAGAGAACAGACGACTATGCAAGCAAAATGTTGTTTGCTCACATTTAGTATAAACATACGTGTCGTCCATTTCTCTTGTGACGTATATAAATAGTGCATATATTTAGGCGCAATATTTAACTTCTTCTGGCGTGTCGACCTCAAGAGTTTGATATCTAGACTAGGTTGATATCTAGAATTTTCCATAAATAGCTTTGCTACATTTATAGTAGGTGCATTCTTTTGAAATACACGCAAAGCAAGAACACAAATTAGGCTATTTATCCGAGCTCAGCCAGGTCGGTTAAAAAACACGCGACCTGAAGGGTAGTGTTGGTAAGAGAAAAAACTGCTCTATTGTGAATTGTTAATGGGAAAGTGGAGAGGGAAATTGTTGCTTCCTTTTATACGTGACTTATATTTTAAAAGAGTATATATATTACGCAAATACCTCGCATAATTACTCACTTAAATTGGTTTTTGTATCTAAATCCCGTTAAACTAATCACATCTTCTTGCCAGCTACCAACAGGGTTGCTTAAGTAGCTAAAAGGAAATTTTACCCGAGTTGAGTGTTCTTTTGTCACTCGCTTACAAAAAAATGCAGCTAGTATAAATGGTGGTCTGGACATACAACATTCAAAGCGGACTGGACATACAACATTGTTAGCTGATAAAGGCGTTGTAAAATAATATATCTCATAATCCCATAGAATTTATTTTGATAACTTTTGATTTTGAAATTTTAGCAAAAGTCATTATAAACAATTTATGAGATTGAAAACGAAAAACGTGGAGCGTATTCACATACGCCTAATTCACAAAATAAGTTTTCTTAACAATCGGAGAGGTTATAAAGTAATATTAATGTATTGTTAAGTAATATGTCATACTTCAATAATACGGACCCTTGATCTAGAAACAAAAAAAGTGGGCGTGGCCCGCCCCCTATTCCGGATTTTAACGGCATATTTTTTTTTTAGCAAATTGACAGGGGCGGTAAGGTGGCCTAAACGTCGAATTTCCAACATTTCCAAAAGCTTATATTTTGAAAACTATTGAACTGATTTTCAAAAATATATAAAATATGGACACAGTTGGAAAGGTAATTGAAAGGCAGGATTTTTTTTTAATTTTCTATGTTTCTACCTACATATGTATATATGTAACTAATTGTATAACATATAGGAGCTTTTGTACATGAATCGAATTTTTTTTGTTACTTTGATTTTTCGTATAATTTTTTGATTTATTTAAAAATTATATTTTTATGTTTCTTGCTATGTATAAATGTAATTAATGGGAGCATAAATCGTATTTTTTTTGTAACTAATTTTTTGATTTGTCTAATCAAAATGAAATAATATTTTTATGTTTGTATCCATGCAACTAAATTCACGAGCAAGAGCAGAGCACGTTGAGATAGAAAAAAGAAAACGTGGGCGTGGCCCGCCCCTTTTTCCTGATTTTAATGGAATATATTGTTTGGTAGGGGGAGGTTAAAGTAGAATTTTAAATATTTTTAAAAGGTTTTATTTCAAAAATTAAATATGGTTGGAAAGGTAATTTCATTTAATATGCATACCTGTACATATAATGTATACATGTTTCGAGAAAAACCAAAAAAACTAAACTATGGCCACTTTTTAATGAAAATGTATGGTTTTCTTAAAAAAAAATACGTAATTATCTATATTAAGAGATATAGTATTCAGAAAATAAAGATTTTTTTGTACTTTCTCTGATAAAAATATCTTTTAATATAGCCAGTTACGTATTTTTTTTTACGAAAACCATACATTTTCATTAAAAAATGGCCTTAATTTCGTTTCGTTGGTTTTTCTCGAAATATGTACACATTATATGTACAGATATGCATATAAATTGATCATAATCAACAATTTAAAAATTTTTTCAATAGGCTCAATAATTTTTGAACGAAACCCTTTTAAACATATTTAAAATTCCATTTTAACCTCCCCTAGCACCCCCTTAATAATGTGCGAATTTTTTATACCGGAAGAAGGTGGACCACTTTTTCTTTTATTTTTTAGCTGAACGGGCGATATTTTTTACTTATGCCCTAATAGCATAACATTAGAGATCTTTTGCACATAAATTATATTTTTTTTTTGTTAAACTGACTGAATAAATATTATATTAAACAAATCTTTAAACTGCATAAATAAAAATTCCTCTTCTATAAAAACAGTGTATTTCTTTTACATCATTGGCAACACTGTACAAGTATTTCAATGAGAGTATTTGGATTCTATTTCGTTCCGCTCCGCTTACGTTTGAGAAAAAGTTGAGAATTCAATATTTCTCAATTTGAAAATAAAGGAAAATTCCACATTAAAAAAGTGCCTTTTAGTTTGAGAACGCTATCAACGGTTTTTTGAGATGCATTTGAGAATTAACGTTTGAGATTTGAGAAAAGGATTGCTTTTCGAATGCATCTCAAACTGAGATTTAACAAAAAGGTTTATTGGGATATTATCCATGCATATGTGTCGCTACTCGCTTGAGTGCTGACCCCATGCGACCACAAACGTAATATTTTTTGGGGGAGGTAAGTTGTTAAAATTTTTTTTGAATTATAAGTCCAAGTTTGAGAGAAGGAGATTCGTGTTAATATTTATATTGTCTGATACCTCAGAATATGTTTGACTCAAATATATCAAAAATCTGCGTAACCTGACAAAACAAATTGTTCCCCTCGTTTTCGTTTTCGGGGATTTGGGTCATATGCTTTTAACATATATATGTGCTCGTAATTTTTTAGTCCCGGGCCCGAGTTTTCTCTCGATGGCCCTGAGTACATGTGCACATATATTATAAATTCTCACTGACGGGTTTATTCTGCACTGATAACAAAGATTTTGTAGCCTTATAAGGTGTTAACCGCGGTATTGCCTCGTGAAATTTGCATTTTCATTTGCATTTATACCAAAATCAATGGCTGCATACTCAGATACAAATATATCTGGAATCACGGTTACTACAAGAAGCTAAATTTTTGGCATTAAGTTCGCCTGCTATAAAATTATGTGGGACGTGCAGAATATGCCTGCAAATCGGTAAAATATGTAAATTATTTTGCATTCCTTTTAAATCTTCTAATCTCATCTTTCAGTTCCATTTTATCAAATAGAAGCAGTTGTTGGTGAAACAGTACACTTACCATGTGATACAACTACTAATTCTGCCGATGAAGCCAACTTGATACTTTGGTATCGGGAGGATAAAGGAACTCCCATATACAGGTAAAGAAAGTAACATGTGTGTGTATATCTTATAAAAACCTTTAAAAAGTATTTTTATATAATTATTTCAGTGCCCTAGAATACTAGTTTTCTTTTTTCCTAAGAATATTTCGAATGAAAGGCTACATTCTTTCCGTTATTTTCTTGCTTGACACTTTTGGTTAAAAATTTAACCGTCTAGCTGCTATTGTAAATAAATTTACTGGGAACCAGTTCAAAATGAGAGCAAAGAGCCATTATGGTACATGTTAAAACAACATTTCCTGTCGTTGCTGTAACTTATCAGATATATCTTCTGTGCAACTGACAAGCACTGTGTGGGACCAGAATTATAGCTCAGTTATGCATACTTAGCGTTGCATAAAAGTTGTCACATAGGGAATCTGCTAAATGGGCTTTACGTATAAGCGGTTACCCAGCGCATAGAAATTAACATGAAGAATTCTGTTGGGTTTTGATTTTTACGTAAAAATGGTATAGCAGTGCAAAGTATGCATAATGGTGCATTTAAACGGTATGAAGCCATATGAACAGTTGATATGCTACAAGTAATTTTTAGCAAAAAAAAACCGACTTCAACTCTCATATAAAATATATATATATATATATATATATATCTCATGATCTACTGATCAGATCTTAACCAGATTAGTATGAGACCACCTCTGAGGCATTGCCTTTCCGATTCAAAAAGAAATATCGGTTGACGTGGTCCAAAGTTATGCGGTAACATACATAAAAAATAAAAAATATTCCGACGAACTGATAACCTCCTCCTTTTTTGGAAGTCGGTTAAAAATTGAGGGACTACATGTTCTAGTGAGGATTCAATGGTATCGAGTGGTATGCACATAATACATTTTTTCATATTAAAAATTATGCGGAGATACTGTAAACATATTGTTGTACTACTGTCAAGCATATGAAATTTTAGCAAGTTTAATCTTCATACATCTTTTCATGAGAAGTTTAACAGATGCAGGGATACCAATGAGGTTGTTTCCCGTTTTGATGCTTTTTAGTACAAAAAACCGCCTAAAAAGAGGAAAGTGGCAACTGTGACATTCAAGTTTTCACATCCATGTCAAACAAACAAATTCAAAACAAAGAAATTGTTTGTGCTAGAATTTTTATATAGAAGCAACTCACGTATGGTAGACAATAAAAATACAAAGCAGTATGATAAGAAACTAAAAAGCAAGACATTACACAAAGTTTTAATGAGCTTTTTATCACATTTTAGTAAAAATAGGCTGGCAAGCTGGCAAAGAAATGTGTATATTTTGTTATTAACAAAAAAGACTTGCCCTATATATAAGTCAAAACTATAGAAGGCATGTATCAAAGCGAATTAATATAAGGTGATAGCAGGAGTACAAAAACAAAAATTTACATGTATTTTGTTTTTGCTTTGGCAGCATAAACTGTTAAAATCTGTAAGAGTGTGTGTAGAAATTCAAACAAGCCGTGCGGCGAAACACATAAACAAAATCAGCTGAGCTAGTAACATCACCTTATATAAATTCGCCTTGGGATGTATACTGCTCCCTTTAAATTTTTCATACAGTTGATGTTTCTTTTTGGCTTTTACAAAATGCAGGGATACCACTTTTATCATAAAATGTTCAGAGAATTAACAAAAAAAAACTAAAATGGTATGATCTCATGTTTCTTTCAAACCGAATGCATATGGTGGCGGTTCCGGTAAAGGCGAATTGTATTTTTGCGAACTCGTTTTTAAAGTATTTGCATACATTAGCTCTGATCCAGTACTCCATGAACTTACAGGATTTTACACGAACTTGCAGGAAGTTGCAGGAAAAATGTTCCCGTACTTCAAAATCCTGTAAATGAGAGCCATTTTTGGAGAGTTGTGTAGAGAATGAAGTTGCAAGATTTTACCCGAACTTTTTCTTCTGGTAAAATCATGAAAAGTTTCAAGAAATCACTGGTTGACGTTTTTACTGGAAAAATGTTTTTTTTTGTTCCCGTACTTTTTGTTGTTACTCACTTTTTACTCTCACTTCAGATAGTAATTTTGCTGTTTGACAGTTTTACAGGATTTTTCACGAAAAGTATTGGATCAGAGCTATTGGTTAATTGGCTTGTCAAAACCACAACATTCCAAATGTCGGCATTTCACTGTCAAAGCGATGTCTTGAGAATTCGCGCGAATAGAATTCGCTCTTACCGAAACCACCGCCCAAGTCCGCATTGGCATTATTTCTCATTCTTTTGGTTAGCGCTGTAACCGTTTAAGAATTATTCGCCGAATCTAATAAAGCCCGCCAGTCGTAGGTGTTCTGAAACCCCTCCTCCCCCCTCCCCCTCCCCCAGACTTTCATGCAAATCAGTTCAGTCATTTCCGCGTATTAATTCACTAATTTTTTTCAACGGGTCGCAACTCTTAAAAAAATTTAGCCTATTTTCCGCTGTAGGTCATAGCTATCTGTTTGCAAAATTTCACGCAAATCAGTTCAGTCATTTCCGCGTATTAATATAATTACTCCTTTTTAACATGTGGCAACTCCTAAAAAATTTTCCTACGTAGGTCATAAGCTGTCTGTGTGCAAAATTTCATGCAAATCCGTTCAGTCGTTTCCGCGTATTAAATTAATTTACCTTTTTTGACGGGTGGCAACTCTTGTCCAATCTGCGCCATAAGCTTTCTGTGTACAAATCCGTTCAGTTGTTTCCGCGGGATGGTTTCCCAAACATCCAAACATACAAACTTTCACATCTATATCTATATCTATATCTATATCTATATCTATATCTATATCTA